AACAACACCCGATCACCCAGGCTTTAGATACCGAAATTAAGCGCATAGCCGATGAAGGTATTGAAAACTGTAGCGACCCCAAAGGCTTCAATATCCCTGTATTTGCCGTACGCAAGAAAAACAGATCGACTCGCGTTGTCGCTAACTTTAAAAGAACTCTCAACAAGGTGTTAGTCGATCTTGACCCTTACCCAATGCCAAGGATCGACAACTTGTTCAACAAAATTGGCAAAGGCGATAGATATTTCACTTCCCTCGATCTACGCAGCGGCTACTGGCAAATTGAGATCGACAAGCGAGACCGATACAAAACAGCATTTACATGGAAGGACCAATGCTATCAATACACGCACCTGGCCTTCGGCCTTACATCTGCCGGACAAATCTTCTCCCGTTGCATAGCAGAAGCTTCCAGCCACGGCCACATCCCGTAACAACATTTCTTCCTATGTCGACGACAACCTGGTCCACGCTAGGACATTTAGGGAGAGCATACTCCCTCGAACAATTTTTACTGCCTCCGAAAAATTCAGACTCAAGCTGAATCCAGATAAATATTCCTTCCTCATCAGAGGCAAAATTCCTCGACGCATAGTAAAACAGCAAAGGATTCAAGGCTGATCCAGAATACGTTCATGCCATCAGGGAAATGAAACCAACATCAAAAAAGGAATTACAAAGCCTTATCGGCCATTTAGGGTGGATCAGACAATTTCTAGAGACACGTCTTCACGAACAAATCAGGTCAGATATGTTTTCAAAACTTATGGGTCCCATACACGAACTCAAGAAGGTTAATAAACCGTTTGTCTGGATGCAAATGCCGACAGAGCCTTCAAAGAAATCAAGGACCGTCTCTTCGCCACCCATCATCCGTTTCTGGGATTTCTCCAACTTTTCACACTCACCACCGACGCCAGTGACGTCGCATGTGGAGCAATCTTAATGCAAGAAGCCGACAACGGAAGAAAGATATCATAGCGGTTGCTTCCACATTCAACTCCACGAAACAGAACTGGTCCATGACGGAACAAGAGGCATATGCAGTAAAAGTGGGCAATATTGAAATTTGATTATTTCTCTTCGCAACTGCCCCTTCATCATCTTCACCGACCACAGATCGCTGACCAACGAGAGTTCAATAATGCCAAAATACGACGATGGCAAGAAGAAATTTCATGTTATAAATTCGTCTTAGAATATGTCGAAGGCGAATCAAATGTATGGGCTGACATACTCAGCAAAGGCTGCGGACATAAGAAAACGAAAGCCCCGAACGACATTACATCAGCAGGCAGGAAATTTGAGGTAAGTGGTTCAGACCTCCGCGTATACATCCCACCTTGGTGCCTCCGCGAGTTTAACGGTTTACAGCTCATTCCCAAAACTCACACACCACAAAACGCCCGCACCCACAAGCGCATCACCAACACATTCTTCACCTATCACTCTACTAACACCATCCCCATTGAGAGAATCTGCAACCACCTCAGCATCGCAAATGAACAACAGAAGGACGACACCGGCAAAGATCATCAGCGCCTCCAGTCACCCACCCAAGCGAAACTCATATCGATCCTGACGACCACCGAGCTACGCTTTCAAAAACATTTGCACCAATTTTTTCTAGAACCATGCACCTTCCGTTTTGATGATAAGAGAGAGTAAACACTCTCCGAGATTGGTTGCCGTACCATAAAACTACGACCCAGATACCTCCTACCAGGCACACGAGGGCAAAAACCACCAGGTGTTACCCGTATGCGTAGAACTCCCTTTCCAGCTGGTGGGGAATTCAAAAACCGCGACATCAAGGCTCATGTCGATTCTTGGACACATGTGCTAAGTGCAAGGGCAACTATAGTAGACGTACCCCACTCGGCTCATTGGCCACTGCAACGAGGAAAGAGACCATTCGATCTCGTCTTTATAGACTGTCACAATGCTCAACTCAAAGGGAAAACGCTACATCCCAACCATCTTGGATAGCTTCAGCCGACATTTTACAGCCATACAATGCGCGAGAGACCGTCCATATCAACGCCGCCCAATGGATTGTACCATTTTCCCTTCAACACAGAGAGATTCCACGATAGTATCCTCTGATCGAGGCACACACTTCACTGAGAAGTCTATCGACAAGAATCTGTAACCAGATGTCAATCACACATAAGAACTTCACTGTCCTTGGCGCCCGCAAAGGTCAGGAAATATCGAGAGACAACATTGCACGATGAAGAACGCACTTTATATGTTATGCGAAGACAGGAACTGTGAATGGACAGACGTTTTAGAATCTGTCGTTTTTTCCATGAATGCCATGACCAACAGCGCCACCGGTGTCTCCCGACTATGCTAATACTAGCCGCCACCCCAACATCGGCCTACGACATTATACAGAAAAGAAAAAACAAGCGACGATCCTGGAGCATATGGAATGGAAATAATGCCCCTGCTAAAGCAGGTTCACCACCATGTCACCCTGACAACGATGAAGCTGACCACAAACTTGAGACTAACTTAAATCGCCTCACATACAAGGACCCAATACAAGTAGGCGACAAGCCTTTACTTCATCGCCATACTCAACTGTTGCCCAATCTTCTCATTTCATGGATAGGAAATTATACCATTATAAAAATGAACAAGAGATGTCAGGGCAAAACGATGATGGTGATACAATCTGGATGCACTGCAAATATCTGACGACTGGCTCCACGCCCAACACATCTAAGACAACTTCCCCCCACGCCTTCAGAGACTTTATCAAGAATTAATCAGAAAATATACAGGAATCAAATGCTCATTGAAAATCAGACCAAGATCTGGGGAGCCTTTGTCATGAAAATAAAATAAGACAATATCTCGGCTGATTTGCAGGCAAATAAACTAACATACTTAAGAGCGAGAAGCCGGATGAATGGGACAAAACCCTGTCACAAAATGACCATTATTGTCAATTACAATGGCGACACATCAGTTCCGGCTCGAAAAATAAAATAATATTTTAAAGTGTTTCTATTTTTCAACCAATAAAAAATGCTTCCCTCCTAATTATACTGCTTTTTTTTCGAGCCTGTTAAGCCACAAAAACGCCATAAAAGGGGGTCACATGGGGAAAGTACAAGCAGTCAATCAAGGGAAGAGAAAATGTCACGGCAGTCAAATAGCAGCAGCGTAACCACGGCCAACCAGTGAGAACTACTATGAGAGATCAACTCAGGATCAAGCAGCCGGCTTATGAACTATACCACAAGGTAGCTGTCCCAAAACCACACCTTCCTATTGAAATAAATCACGTAAATTATTTCTAAAATTATCGTATTTTAATTACGGTAAAATAAAGTCCAAGCATCTAAATTATACTAATAGTATATTTTGTTATATATATGTATTGAAATTTAGAGCTTGTAGAATTTTAAATGTTTGCTTTTATTTAAAAGGTTTTCTCAATGTTTGTTTAACAGTTATTTCAAGATTAAATGTCATTGGATTCATAAAACTAATCTTATCTGCATTTTTAATAATACTCTGCAGTAACATTGTTGGATTTTGTAGGAAGTTTTCTGTTTTAAGTTGTGCTCATTAGCCATTATTTTTTTGTGCTGTGTTGATATGTACATTTATAATGGAAACAACTTTTTAACCAAAAGCAATTCATCCTATTTTAAGCAGGTCACTTGTGTGAGAAATTAAAAAGAAGAACTGTTAAGAGAATAGCAAGATTGCATGTGACAGCTGTTAGGCAAATTTCTAATCTTCATGAAAAAAATTGATACTGATAATTCATTTTGTATGTTATATTTAATTTGTTTCCAACACCAGAGAAATTCAAAATAGCTGTAAGTAAATTTTAATAAATCCTTTGTTATATACTTGTGTAATTCCAAACCAAACCACTTGCATCTAATATTCTTCAAACTCATGAATTTTAGATAACAAAAGAACTTTAAGGCACCTTACAACTCTAAAAAGAGTTAGTGATTATAGCTTGATCGATTACATGAATTCTTCAAGACTGTCATTAGAAATTAAAAATGAAGTAAATTTAAAGTTAAATTAAAAACTTTTAAAATGACATGGATTTAATATTTCAATGTTCTTGGTTGTTCAGTGAATGTTAAATATTAATGCAATTAAGTTTTAATTGTCTTTGATGTTAGCAAGCTGTTGTCACCAACAGATAATCTCAGTTAATGTATGTTGTGGCAACAAAGGAAAAAGAGCTATCAGACTTGAATCTATGCTGAACTTTTCCTCAAAACTGTCAAATAATTTCTTTTGTTTAATTAAAAACCTTTCACATGAAGATAATTGTCCACAAATACGACTTGGAATTAGTACATGCTTTGTGTATATAAAATGTAAACTAGATTAGAGATTGAATGCATCTGATTACTATGTGAAAATGTATTTTTTAAGGTATGCTGCAGAAAATTAGGTTATTTCAGTAGCTGTTCACATAATTCAAATCCCCTAATTTCTTTTTAATCTGCAGTGAAACAAAATACAGTGGAGGAAATTTATGTCTCTATAGTTAAATAGAGAAACAGGCTGAGCTATAAATGTATTACTAGCACCAAAGCTAAAATTCATTTTAGGAATGATATGATCTGAAATTCTGAGATATTTAAAAATGTCTACTTCCAAAAACTAATCACAAATGTTTATGAAACAAAACATTTTAAGTATGAGACAAGTAACTGAAGAAATATAGCAAATGTTTCATGGAGTGAAATCTGATGAATAAAAAGTGACAATTAGAAAATTATATTTAAATCAAAATTTATACATTTATTACATTTTTGTGGGCAGAATATTGATTGCATTTTTTTAAATTGTTATTTAAAAAAAAAAAAAAAAAAAGACTGGAAACATTTACAGATGCCATACAGAAGAGGAGTTAGAGAAAGAACACATATCCTAAGTATTCCTCATATTTTCACAATCACATGTTAACTGCATTCCTCAAGTGCTGTAGCCAAAGCATCCATATCAACCTGCTCAATATCTGTGGTAGTGTCAGTGTCTAGTTCCATTTTGAACCTCTGTTGGCAATGTCTCTGCTCATGATGGCTGTAAAATGAGCGGACTGCAGCTTGACCAAAGCAAATGGTTTTTGGTACTCTGAAAATACAAAGACAAAAGTGTTTATATTTTTTGTGGAGAAAAAAAATCCAACTTTTTTCATCTGAAAAGGAAAATAAATTCACCTTTTTAACATTTCTTAAAGTGATTAGTTTGATAAGGATAAAGAAAATAATATATAATTTGTGGATTTTTTTTTGTATGAGATATCAGGCCATTTTAATTAAATACAGTAAGTCACCTTGTTTTTAAGGAAACCATTGCAATTCAAAGATTTTAAAATAACTAAAAAGTTTAACATTTTATCAGGATGCTTTTATTTTGCTTTCAAACAATAGTAAATTTGATTTTAGAAGAAAACCTAGAGTGGTAAGGAAATACTGAAAATTATAAATTCTGTTTATTTCAGCTTGTTCCAAATTTAGAACAAATTAAAATTTGAAAAAAGCTTTTGAAATTTCAAGTTTAATTCTCTGCATAACCAACAGTTTTATATTGTCATGCCTTTGCTTTATTAAATGATAAGAAAGGATAATCACCAATAAATGGCAACAAAGTAGACAGAACTTCAGCTTACTTGTACGAAAATTGAGTTTTTTTATTATTTTTAGAAGAAAATGATCTGTTTATGTCTCTGGTATCATCAGATATTACAGATTTCCTGAAAATATATAAAGTTATACAAATTATTATGATAATTCAAATAAGATTCATGAATTTTAAAAGAACATAACTTTTTTTGAAGTGGCTTTCCTTCTCCAGTTCTGAATTGGTTGTACTTCTGTACTGACTATCACTCATGATTAGCGAACCTAGTTTATCCTACCTTTAATCCATAGCCAAGAGGAGAAGAAATTCTCAACATGAAATGAATGCAACAAATAAAACCAAAACTTCTTAAATTCAATTACAATAAAAATAGCATCTTTTAACATTATTTCCCCAGTTTTACTAACAAACTTAAAAAGTGCTCCTAAGTATTATTCAGTAATTAAACTGAAAACAAGCTTACAAAATAGGCTTTCATATAAACAAAATAGCTACTGATAGATGCATATTATATAGCATAAACAGAAAAGAATACAATACATAAAAACAATGAAATCCAAGATAAAGATTTATTAGCTTACTTTAGTTTCTTCTGTTTATCAAACCGAAAATTAGCTGGGTACTTATGTTCATTAATCATGTGTTCTTTTCTTTCTTGGCTTTTCTGGAACTTCTGTCCACAGGACTCAAGCAAACAACAATACTGTGAGAAAAGAGGAAACAGTTTACAAGTTGACAGATAAAAAATAATGAATATTTTCCCCTTTCTATAACCCTAATTCTGTTGTAATTTTATGACTTAGCATAAAGATTAAAGCAATTCAATAAGTTTTTAACAGTAAATATTCAGATTAAAACCTATAGTTCTGACAGTCCAAAAGAAAAAAAAAATAATTGCACATATTCCTCATACAATCTCACAAAACTTTTCTAGTTTGATTGTTTTTAATAAGCTGTTCTCCAAGAATATACAAACAGAAAACTAAGGATTTACTAGTCAATATTAAAAGAGACACAAGCTAGGCTGTGCTCAGTTTAGCAACCATAATAATAAAAACAGAAAAATCCTATTATCCGAGGCATATAATTGAATATTGAAAGGAATGATTTTGATTTTACTCAATTTTTATGATGCCTATTCAAATAAATAGCTATATAGATAAGAAACTATCACTCTGACTGACATTTTTTATTTTATATAATCAATTACAAGCTATTTTAACAATGTATAGATAAAAAATATTGCTTTCACCACATCTGAATTTTAAAAATCAATTACTTTTATAGAATCTTAAAATGCAAATAAACATACTAATTTTTTTCTTCACATGAACATGGAACTTATATTTTAATATCTATCCAAAATAAATGAAAATATGATTTGATGCAGATAAATAATACATTTTCTAAGATATTTTTTACTACAGTAAGCTAGCAAATCCTATATCATTTATAATATGCTTAAAAATATTTAAAAGAAAATTATTTTATTTCTTTTGCATAATTACCATTGTAAATGAAGTATCAGTAGAGAGCAGAATAAAGAATCTTTACAGTAATAAAAATATAATGTTTTGGAAGTTATTTGAAAACTGATAATTTAAATGGGTTAAAAGAAAAAAGTGACTAAAAATATTATTCTGTAGATTTATAACACTTTAATAAAATGCATGTGATCAATCCTAAAATTTCACTGCAATTTAGGTTTTACATATAGAATATATTGTAATTGTTGATTTAATAAATATAATAAAAAATAAAAACTAATTAAAATACAAAACTTAAAAATTAATTTTAAAAAAAAATTGTATTTGAATATGTACAACAGGTTTCTATTTTTAGGACTTATTAGTACCTTATATTATTTAAATGAACATTTTGCCTTTATCCTGACACTGATTTACAAGTAATTTCTTGTAATTAATTGTAAGTTTCAAAGATTTTTTCACTATCTGAAAACCAGATGCCCCTAATGCCAACAAGTGACACCAGACCTCAAATCTGATCCTTCCTATAAATCAGAATTTGTTGAGTAATATAAAAAGAAAAACCTTTTCATTTCAGATTTTATCTAAGAAAGCATAATCATGTCAACTGGCAGGCTAGGGGGACAGGATGGGGATTTTAATCACACTGGATTTAATTTATCTAAGTTAATCCAACATTCAATCCTTGCCAGTTTTGTTTCCACAATTTGTGTATGTGCTCTAATTAATATTTTTAATTGATTCTTTCTCTCATTGATTTTTGTATCAGTGTAACACTTCTTCATGATTTTTCTCGTCTAATTCATTTTAATGTTACAAACTTTCAAAGGCCATTTTCATGTATAAACAGGGATATCACCTGGTTAGAAGAGCAAAAATTGGAATGTGGGCATGAAGAAATTGCACACTAAAAATTCACACTTCATAGAGGAAGCTTTTGAAAAATTATTGTTCATATTATTTAACAAAAAATTAAGTTTTAAAAGTAATATTTCTAAAATCTAGTGAAAAACCTCTTTACATAATTATTGGGACATAGAATACAATTAAACATTTATAAATGTAACTTAACTAAGTTTAAAAATAAATCTAACTAGCAAGCAGTCATTAATATAAAATGGCCAATCTAAAACTGACTGGACTCTCAGAAAAATCAACTTACAAAATTTACTTTTAACTGCAATTTATATTTCTATCAAATTCAATAGGATATAATCAATGCAACAAATATACACAACATTATTTTTTTCTTTACAATCTGTTTTGTAATAAACAAATTTAAGACTGAATATAAATTGCTAACATAAGATAAATTACATCATTGTGAGATTGTTTATTCTACTTTCAAATTTACAAATATAAAGAAAGCATTTTGATACAAGATTAAAAAAGTAACCTGTTAAAATATAGTTCTAATTATATCATCAATAGACTTAATTTACCATAGGTTTTTTATCACACATCACTTCAAACATAGCATCATGCCACTCTTGAATGTGGAGACCCAAAAGGTAAGATGATGGAAATACACGACAGCAAGTAGCACACAGGTTTCGGTGTAGACTATTATAATGACATTCATAGCTGAAAGAGAAGAAATTACTTTAAAGACAAATAAAGTCAGTAAATAGTTAAATTTTAAAAAATTACTAGATCCCTATGATTATAAATTTCAAATGGTTTCAAATGAATTACAAAAGTTACCTTTTTATGCATGTTAAACTGAAAATGACTGAAGAAATAAGCCTGCTTCAGAAATTGGTGAATCAAAAACATATAAATGATTTATATCACAATACTGCTAACTCACTTTAGACCAACAATATTGATATCAAAGGTTAAGCGTAAATTCAGATGGTTCAATCTATCTTGAAAACATTAAATATACCAAATGTATAAAGTATATTTGATTGATGTATGCAAATTCAATTTCTTATTTTGTATAAAAAGAAAAAAATCTTGATTAATTAAATACTTTAATTTAATATTTATTGAAATTCAAAATTTTAACAGCTTTATTATTACTTAAATCATATGTACCTGAGCAAATTGTTAAACAGCTTTTTGCAACCAGCCAATCCACATGTAAATTCAGGGATTCTGGTTTAAAGGGAAAATGAAAACAGATCTGAAAACTTACACATTTCTTTTTCTGTTGAAATGTAAACTTTTTTTTTTTTTTTTTACATGATTAGTTTATGCTCCATGAACTTTTGGGCTTGTGTGTAAAAGTCTTTGAATTAATCTAGCGTTGAGAGTTTACTGCTTAAAATAAAAAACAATTTATCAACAATTTAAATACATAAAAAGATTTTATTAGTTCAATGTCAAAAGAGATTCAGTTAATCATAAGATGTTTAAAAAATATTTCTCTTTTCTTCAGGCCTTTCAATATAGTCTGTATACCTAGCTCTCTGAAATTTTTGTTACCTTAGCTAGGAATAGACAGTGTTGGCCTCAATTTCAAGACTGTAATCTTTGAGCTGCTCAATACTAATTAACATAAGCAATGAGAACAGTATATTAATATTACAAAATCCACTCTGATCATCAAAGGAACAAATCAACATTTGATAATGATGATAATAAAAATAAAGAAGTTTGCTATTTTTAAAAATCTTGTGCAATGCTTAATCTGTTAAGCCTAGAAATCTGACCAATTGATGATACACTACATCTGAATATATTTCACTATTTCAAAATTGTGTAACAGAACAAACAATCAGTGATGAGCAGTAAATATACAATGCTGCTCATATCAACAACCTTATTCTACATACATGTATAATTATTTTGATGATTAGAAACTGCAATGTTGTACCAGTAAATGGAAAAGAAAAAAGACAAAGACTTCTAATATCTGCTCCCTTTGAGAATAAGAAAATAATACTTACTTGCTGATGAACTTGTCCCGACTTTCAAGTGGGATTTGTTTTGACAAAAGGTTGCAATAGATGTCACCTTCCTCAAATAAACTATCACCAGGATGCAAGTGGCGTTTTGTTGGGTTCCACTGCCATGACAATGATGGTTTTCTTTCTAATTGCATGATTGGTTGTTTTATTTTTTTTTGCTCAATATCAAGTTTACTCTTTTAGACAAGTTGGAATGGTTTATGTTGCATTCTATCTATGACTCCTGATTGAAATAAAATGAACACTTAGTTTTCAACATTTACAAGGAAGTAATATATTTCATAAGTGTTCATTTCGTGAAATTAATCTTTTCTTTGTCCCCCCCCCCCAACAGCAATTATATTTTGCAAATACTTTGGTATTTTCTTCAAGAGCTTAAAAACTTTGCCATAAAAATGAGATAGAATTAATTTTATTTTTGGAGCAATAATCTGTTTTAAAAGCTTAGATTAATATTGAAACTCAAAATAATTGCTAGAAAATTGCAACTGGAAATAAATAATAGTCTACAAGAAGAATTTTTTGTTAGAAAGTTTTATTTTCTAGATGCATAAAAATGAAAGTTAATTAGAATTTGATGGTTTTCAGATGTTTTTTCTTTTTTTTTTTTTTAATTTTAATAAAGAAAAAAATTATTAATAATTTAAACCAGTTTTGCAGATTATTTAGATGTATAGAAGAGTGTGAAACTAGATAAGTTGAAAGTTTTAAAAAAATAAAAAGGAAAATGAAAAGAGTAAAAAGAAGAAAGAAAAGTAGTTTAAGGAGACCAAAAGGACATCTTCATTATTATTCAGTGAGAGGATAAGTAAGCCGATTCATGAGGTCATTAATTTGTGTTTTCAGAGTCTCAACAATGTCAGCAGATATGAACAAGTGAGTATCATCAAGATCATTGATGACAAATTTCTTCCCTAAAGTATTTTTGTCATCAAGTTGAAGGAGAAATTGTTTCATGGCTGGATCACATTCCACTAAAATTCCCTTTATCACATTGACCATGATGAGAGCTCCAAAGAGATTATTAATATAAAGAGATGAACCAACAAGATTATTTCACAATTCAAAGAGCAAGAGTTTTTTGAATTTTCACTAAAGAGCAGCAGCTTTAGTATGGCTTACAATTGTTAGGTGAAAATCTGAAAAGAAAAAAGAATAGTTAATGCATGATTGAGTGAATTTATCAGTTAAAACTACATTCACACTGAACTGATATCTATATTTTACTATAAGGGTAAAATTTTAGGAAATAAGCCTGAAAAGTTTAGAGTTAAATTTTATATGAGTGATAGCTTTATTTGTTTGCCTTATTGGGCCTTGTAAAGTTGGCCTCATCCAATAAATATATATTTTTCAACTGATATACTATTTTTGTATTAGAACTTTATATATTATATACACTACAAATATACACTTCATATTTTTACCAATTATGGAAATAAAAAGTATTTTTCACTTTGCTGTAGACTAACACAGGAAAACACGAAAAATGACACATGGGGGATTTTGCACATTTCTGTCTGAATGAAAGCCTTTGAAAATATTTTTTTTAAATAATTTATCACAAGCAAAGTAATAAGCAAGTAAAACACAAAAGGTTACTGAGAATAAAAGAAAGCAAGTAAACATTGAGGAGAGAGTGGACAAAAAAGACTGGGATTCAAAGAAACAGAAGATGATGACTGACACTGCATTTAAATTTTTCAAGATCAAAGTTGACAGGAAAGCAAGAAGCTGGAAGAAAGTTCCTCAGGCAAAAACTGCAAGAGAAGAAACTATTTGAATAGAACTTAATTATATCTAGGAACTTTAACAGTAAAATGATGAAACCTAGCTGCCAGTCTAATACTGCACTTAAATTTGTGAAGTTGCAGTACCAAAAAGGAAACATCACTATCATGAAAATATTTATAGAAAAGGCATAAGGAAGCTACATTACCGCAATGTGATAAATGACTGAAGCCAAGAGGCCAAATCAGGACCGATCACATTGCAGATTCTTTGAATTCTGTTAAGAATTTCTAGATATGGAACAGAAGCACCAGATTAGATGTGACAGCAATATTTGATTCAGGAATGAATGGTAGGCTTATAAAGTTGCAAGATAGTGTTGAGAAAAATTACCTAGCACAACTCAGTTTATCAACTTTTGTAGCAACAGGCCTGGCATTTGATTCAATGTAATCATTCCAACTTCATGTTGGTGGAAAACATTAGAGAAGGCTCAATGAGTTACTCTCCTGTAAGGTTAGCATCAGCCATGCTGATGAAAAGCAATAAAATTATTATTGATGATTAAAGGAGAGTAGTTTTGTTTTGGAGGCATTAAAATTAACAAGCCATTTCTTGCATTTTGTACATCTCCATTATCCACGGTAGGGACTAAGAAACGACTCTAAATTCAAACTGTCTGAGCATCACACATTTTAGTGCTAATGCTGCTCAATGATCTTTTATAAAATTCTTCATTTGAATTCAACAACAATAACATATAGTGATATTATTTACCTTTAGAAATAGTTTTTATGAACTAAACATGGAGATTATAGGAAGGTGAAAAAGTATAGCGATTTAAATATTTTTCAAAGCGGATTTTGTTTGAGTTATTCAATCTCTAATTTTTTCTTCTTCTCATTACTATGTTTAATTAGCTTTAAAGCAAAAATAAACCAAATGTACTTACTCCATTTTTTAACAAAATAAAATCCAGCTGAAAAAGTTGAGAAGAACAAGTCAATTTTGTCTTTGTTGTGAAACTGATTCTATTCATAATCCAATCATAGAATTTAACAAAGTTGCATTCATAATAAATATATAATTCAATTAACCGACTTTCAATATAAATTTAAACATGATTAAAATAAAGTAGAACATCTTATAATGTGGAAAAGACATACTTTCTGGCGGAAAAGTTTAAAAAGAAAAAAATTGGCAATATTTTCATTTAATGTGGATAATTTTTTTTTAAATATTCATTTAAAATTTAAATGGATATTTATTTTTTCTACCCTAACAAAACAACTTAATTTGATTTTGTAATGATTTTTTTTTTTATCATTTAACTGATTAAATTAATATACATAATTTTTGAAATTTTCTTCACATTCAGGCAGTATTGATAGATTAAAAAAAAGTTCAAGAGGGGACAAGTGGTAAAGAAAAAGAATTCTAGAGAGTAAAAACATTTTTTACTAAAAACTAAATAATGGAAAAAAAAAATAAAAATAAAAAGGTAATGCAAAGCGTAAAAATTATTCGTTCATTTTCTAACAAATTTTTCAAGGGAAACAAAACCATGATGAATATATTGTAAAAAATCTTTAAAAAAATGCAGTCAAGGTTGTTTGACATTAAGATAAAATTTTTAAAAAAGTACGTTTTTTAAAATAGCAAAACGCCAAAGGGCATTTAAACTGTTAATGTTTTAAGTCGGATAGTCATAAAAAAAAATAATGACGCAGCTAGAAAAAAAAACAGAGGAGTAAATTTTTTTTTCAGTCTTCTTATGCAAAATAAATTATTTCATGAGCAATCTCCTGAAGGAGAAATACTGGATTTTTAATGTCAAGTAAACGTTCTTAAGAATATCAGTAAATAATATTTACTGATTTTACGTAACTACTAACTATTGAGTATGTAAAATTCGAAACACATGGTTATCTTGTCAGAAAATCAGGACTCACTGTAGTGTAAATTATCCCCCCGTTTTTAGTAGTATGCTTCATTCTTAGTGAACAGTAACACTGAACAGACTCTTTAAGACTATTCAAATTCAGTCTGTGACAAAATATCGCATTCAGAGTGATTAAAATCAAAATGTGAAATAATTTTATGTATGTTTCTTTTTACCTGAAATATTTCTTATTTTTTTTCTTCTTTCTTCAGTAAAAATGAACGGAGAACTAACGTTGTCGTCATTACAACATTACTTGCTAGAGTTAGAAACAAAGGAGCCAAACCTTCGTAGTAAAAAGGAAATTTACAACGCTAATTTTACTAAAATACAAATCAGAAAGAATAAATGAAAGAAATTTTCCCCAGTTTTTAATTTTTGCATTTATTTATTTCTTTTAGTTTTAAAAAATAAAATGTGCTGTGCTTCCTGATCATAACTAGCTTTGCCCTTTGCAGATAAAAAAAAAAAAAAGAAAAACAATTTACACAATTTTTGTCGGATTTTTTTATAATAATAATAATCATTTGTGTGTGTTATGTTTCCAGTTTCTTGTAGATCCTGGTCCAAACTATGGTCCTTCCTTACGCTCTATAGGAGACTTGTCATTTAGCATTTTTCTTATGACATAGGGCGATCTTCTGGTTAAACCTGATGGTTACCTAGGACACTGTTAGTACTGTAAAAATTGTCCATTCCTTTTCTCACGAGACCCAGAGCTCCGATTACTATTGGTAGTCTCCGAGACTGTACCAATAGTAATCGGAGCTTTAGAATGTTAAAAAGGATGCAAAATTTAAAAAAAATAATAAATACTTTGGTCTTTCCTAGTTTAGTGTCCTACTTCAATTTAAAAATATTTTATTTGCGATCTAACTAATTTCACTGGTTAAAAAAGATTTCAATACATTTCCTACGTAACAGGACTTCGATCGACAAAAATCTGTGCAAAAAGTGGATCACATTACCTTACTATTTCCCTGACTCCTCATCGGTCAGTTAATTTAATCCTAATATCATGTTTTCCACTATGTCCGCACAGTTAGAATTAATTTACCGCCAAAAATCCTTCTATGTGTTTAGAGCCTACTACGTAAATAAATACTGTGACATCTTCAACTCTTTCTCTCTTTTGCCTTCTCTCACACACAAGATGTACCATTAAATTTCGTTTGACCCGTTAGGGTAGACGCTATGACACACATGTGGGAATCACTTTGACTTACATGTGCCACACCTCCGTTTTCTTTATTGTCATTGGGTAATAAATACATGATACTTATTATAGGACAATTTAACCATCGCAAGTAATTCAAAATTTTCTCTAAAATCACGGATTGGTCCATTTCCTGACCAATCGCGTATTTTATTATCTTTTCTATATTTTTGGCGCCAAGCCATCCGGAGCCTAAAACTTGTTATATAAAGACTCTCGCTGTTTGCCAACAGTAGCAGTAAGGCACGGCGCTATACTGACATTTTAATTCTTAATTATCACTCAATCGAGTAATCATACTAATTCATATTGATATCACTCATGAACATTACATTTTTCTACACTGATAAAACACTGTGGAACTATTCTTTATTTAGCTAAGACTTCAATTGAACTTTGTAGTTAAATTACATTCAATTTTGTACTCAACATTTATTAGCTAAACTTACCCTTTTTATTACGGAAAAAAGGGAACAACTTTCTTTATACTATTGTTGATATTTGTATATCATTGTTAATAATACAATATTTTATTAATGTTCACTGAGCTTGATTATTTTTCTCTCGTGTTTGTTGTGCATTATTCATGTGAGGTGTTGTTTTACAAGAACACAGCCTTCCTTCTTTATTATATTCACGGTGACCCTAGCCAACAATACTTACAGCACCACTACACACACACACCTGCACAGACATACGTACGAACATTGAACATCTCTTAACTATTCAACTACAAGCTGTAATGATATTGCCTACTCCTTCGTTCCAGATTCCCGGAACGTCAATCTGCTTTTTATATATACAAACACACATGCACTTTTATCAATAAATATACGCCATGACACTACCTTTATTCGTAACTATCACACGTGTTCGGGTTATTTAATTATTATCTATCAATACGCATCCATGCACTACACGGCATGACATGGTGGCAGCGAGACTGGATACAGTAAACAACCCCACAAAATCACAGTACCAAAATAAAACAGTGAGTACAAACAGCAGTACATTATTTTCTTTAATCGTCCATGCTACACAAATTCTCGCTCACTCATGCCACGCCGGGCTCACAACATAACCGCTACTAACAGGCAGATATCATGGCTACAGTGTCAATATAAGTACCTAGTCTTGACCGGGGCTCGCTAAACATTGCCGAGTCGTTCAAACTATTTCGGCAACGTATGGAGCTCTACTTCACCGTCAAGGCAACAAAACACGAAGACAAGGTGCCGCTAATTCTCCTCACAGCCGGCTGATACAACAGTTGGTCGATGACAGACAACAACTGCAAGGAGCCACTAAAAATATTCTCTGCCTACATGGAGCAGCTCGAACCAGCAACCAACCACCGCGTCTGTAGACTTGAACTCAGCAAATACCAACAAAAGTCAACAGAAACAACAGACATCTTTGTTAACAGCTGTTGACTGCTAGCAAAGAAATGCGACTTCACCGTCGACGAAGTAAACGAACACCTCATTGAGTTACTAAGTGCCAGCACGCCCATACCCGAACTACAAAAGGAACTGTTGAACAAACCAAAGGGTTACAAAATTGAAGATGCTGTTAAAGTAGCCCGTTCACATGAAGCATCAGCAGTATATATCAGCCAACTCCACCAGCTACAGGGATCACCACAGATAGCTACAATAAACCGTGGTACACACCAACAGAAAGGGAGTGATAGAAAATACGGACATGTTTGCAAAAATTGTGGATGCAGCCACGGTTTTGGCAAAGAACACTGCCCTGCCAAGAACGACACATGCAACACATGTGGCAAAGTAGGCCACTGGGCTACAGTCTGCATCTCAGGGAAACACAAGACCAAGAGACGAAAAGGGAAAACCTGGTCTAACGGTCATAATCAGTCGAGACATCCACAACAGGAGTTTGGCAGTAAAGTCGACAGCGTCACCAAACATAACAGTCAAGTCATGGCCGACATAGACACAGTGATGGAAAACCTCACCTTTAGCTCCATTGAAACCAACAGTGGAAAATCATCAAATATAAAAGGCCCTCGAAATGAGGCATTTGTTGATTTAAACATCAAATTGATGGACCACCCAGGCACTCATACTTTCAACCTGAAGTTAGATACTGGGGCTCAAGCAAACACACTGCCTATCCGCATATTCCGCAAGATGTACCCCACTAGTATAGACAAAGCTGGAAATCCAATAACCGGATCACTCACCTTAACACAATGCCTACTAACAGCCTACAACAACACAAAGATAAACTGTTATGGCACTACAAATATTAGGTGCAAATACAAGAACTCTCCATGGCTGGATACCCAATTCTACGTGGTTGATGTTCCAGGAGCAGCCATATTGGGCCTGCCAACATCAGTATCACTTAAAGTAGTGACAATGAACTGTGCTATCTCAGTCCAGCACCAACCCATCAACAGTGTAGCTGACCTAATGCGCCTCTACCCTGACAGATTCGACCGTATTGGTGAATTTCAGAGGACTCACAAGCTTGCTATTAACCCCAATGTGCCATGCCACATAGATCCACCGAGAAGGACACCTATAGCCATGCACGAAAAAATCAAAGCAGAGCTCGACAAGATGGAATCACAAGGAGTCATTTGCCGTATTGAAGAACCTACAAACTAGATAAACTCTCTTACATATGTCACCAAATGTGACAACACAATAAGAGTCTGCCTAGACCCACGAGCACTAAACAAAGCTCTCATACAGTCATACCACCAAATTCCGACTGTCGAAGAGCTCAATCACAGGTTTGCAGGAGCAAAATTCTTCTCAAAGTTGGATGCTAAGTCTGGATACTGGTCCATAAAGCTCGATCGTGAAAGCCAGCCACTAACAACTTTCCAAATGCCAGTTGGGAGGTACTGTTTTGAACGACTTCCATTTGGTCTGAGTGTAAGTCAGGATATTTACCAACTTGAGATGGACAGGATACTCGAGAAGTGCACTGGAGCCTGTGGTATAGCTGACAATATCACCATATATGGGTCAACAGAACATGAACACGACGAAAACTTAAAATGTTTTATGGAGGTCGCTACTCAAGAGGGCCTTATCCTGAACTCGGAGAAATGCAAGATTAAATGTCGGGAAATCTCCTTCTTTGGAAAACCTGTATACACATACCGGGTTGAAACCTGACCCAACAAAAGTACGTGACCTACAGGAGATGTCAGAGCCACGTAACAAAACAGAATTGCAACATCAAGGACTTCAGCTCCCAAACTACCATGTTGCGTGACCTGTTACACAAGGACTCTGATTTTCAATGGGAACCACATCACCAGAAATTTTTCAAAGATCTAAAGAGTGAAGTATCTGAAATGTCCTTGCTCCACTATTTTGACCCCAAACTTCCAATTTACATGCACTGTGATGCGAGTATACGGGGAATAGGTGCAGCTCTGCTACAACCGGATGCAGATGTCAATCTATTGCCTGTCACATATGCTAGCAAGAGCATTGGTGGAGTTGTGTTAACACAAACGGAACAAAGATATGCATGTATCGAGCGTGAGCTACTGGCCATCGTATTTGGCACACAGAGATTCCACACATACCTTTATGGCCACAATTTCCAAGTCGTCACCGACCATAAACCCCTTACAATGATTATCGACAAACCGCCTGCAACAAATACTCATACAACTCCAGGGATACAACTTCAAGCTCACCTACAACAAGGGATCTGACAACATCTTGGCTGATGGACTATCACGCCTACCATCACCCGGTAATTTGGACCCTATCGAGCTTGATGTCTGGGTTGATACTGTCCGTTTCTCCACTGATCGCATTGAACAACTGAGGAACTGTACAACAGTGGATCCTTTGCTTAACCAGCTGAGAGAGACCATCATCACTGGATGGCCAGAGACAATCAAGCAGCTGCCCACTGACATCAGAGTGTTCTGGGGTCTAAGAGACCAGCTCTCAATTGATGATGGTCTTATCCTCAAAGGACAACAAATCGTCATTCCCCAGACACTTCAAGAAGACATCCTAAAACAGCTTCATACCACTCACTTAGGACAGGAGAAAACAAAACTCCTCGCCAAGGACACCGTCTACTGGGTAAACATAAACAGAGACATTGAACAGTTCACAAAGTCATGCAGCATCTGCCAACAGCATCAGCCATCCCAAATGCAAGAGCCCCTTATGCAACATGACATCCCAACAAAGCCATGGGACATAGTTGTCACAGACCTGTTTGATCTCCATGGAAGTCAATGGTTGATCATAGCCTACTATTACTCCAAGTACCTTGTAGTCAAACACCTACCTGCTCATTCACCAAGCAGTGTTATAGTGAACATCACATGCCAAGTCTTTGCAGAGTTTGGCATACCATCAAAGGTAGTCATTGATAATGGACCACACTTTTCAAGTCACCTCTACCGTGAATTCGCCAAAGAATGGAGTTACTACCATGAGACCACTTCACCTCGGAGACCACAGGGAAATGGCTTCATAGAACAGCAGATAAGAACATCCTCCAGAAAGCCAAGCAGTTGGGAACAACGCCTGAAATTGTGCTGCTGCACTGGCGCTGTACTCCAATTTCAAGCGTCATACCAAGTCCTGCACAGCTACTCATGGTTAGACGAATCCAATCTCCACTGATAACCAAAATCAGAAATGATCACCAAGATCAGGATCAGATATATAGCACGATCCAACAATGTCAACAAAACCAAATGAGGTACTTTGACTGACATGCATTCAAGGAGGAACTACCACCCCTGTACCGTGGCAAAAGGGTAAGGATACAAAACCCTATGTCTGGAAGCTGGGACCCAGCAACTGTAGTATCCCAGGCAGGTGGTCACCACTCATATCTCCTGGAGAATGTCAATGGGAATGTGCTGCGAAGAAACCGGCAACACCTAAAGAGTATCCCAGTGACGCCTGCCCCACAACTGTCCCAAGACGTCTCAAAAACAGCTTCACAGAAATGTGTGACTTTTGTGGATACACCTGTGTGTACAATCCCAAACATGCGAAATGACCCTCAAAAGCATACCTGTAGTGGTAGGATGGTGCGACCGCCATCAAAGATGAACTTATGATGAACACATTCTCATAACCTCACAGCAAGCACTTAATGGGGCAGAATAATCCCCTGCTTTGCTGTAGCTGTTCAGGCAGTCTACCCTGAACGAGCCTTTCTGTTTATTTGTTATATTTGTTTTGTTCTACAGACCTAGTATTATGATCTTTGTTTCAGAGAAAGGAGGATGTAATGATATTGCCTACTCCTTCGTTCCGGATTCCTGGAATGTCAATCTGCTTTTTATATATACAAACACGCATGTGCTTTTATCAATAAATATATGTCATGACAGTCCCTTATTCGTAACTACCACACGTGTTCGGGTTATTATTATCTATCAATACACATCCATGTACTACACGGCATGACACAAGCAACAGAAACTTATTTACTTCAGTCTTCTGGAGCTATAAGTTACGATTCAACATATTCTCAACTTTCCAGAATTCTCTCACTCATATTCAACTCTCTTTGGTGAACAACAATAATCAGCAAGTTAATTAAACTTTTCGATATTCAAGTGAAGATTACATTTTCCCTCAATCAATAAGTTTCTTTGAACGTGTGGCGTGCTAATGAGATTTGGTATAAAATTGTTAAGAAGGCTTTGGTGAAGGTTGCGTTTTTGATTAGCACATCACATTTAAATTTTACAAATAAACACAAAGAAGGAATAACGAGATTATTCAGTAATCAACAATAACATGTATTGAAAAACAAGCGAGTACAACAATTGTGTTTGGTGAAACAAAGTTAAGAAAGAGAAAGTAGTTCCCCTTGTACTGATGTGAGATTGTAAAGGTGTTAAAAGAACTTTCTTGTTTAAAATGTTCAGAGTTCAGCAATATGTGATAACTGAGTTTAAGTATGAGAAAGTTGTACAAAAGAATGATAGAATTATGAGTTGGTTACTTGGCTTTTTAGACAGACATTTCACAGTGTAATGCAATTGTAATTTTGTGTCTGTGTGTGTGAGTAGAAGAATGAGAATTCATGTACGTGGTTGAGCTCTGGAGATTTACTGTTCTACTACTGTTCTTTTCTTTGATTTTCATGTTATTTATACTTTCTGGTTAAGCTCCAGGAACGAGAGCGGGAAAAATATTGAAAAGAGTGTTATATTATATTATTGGTCAAAAATCAACCAATCACTGTTTTTTTTTCTAAACCAGGTTTGGCAAAGTAAACATTAGAAAATTTGATGTGGCTCATGCGATGCATAAATTGTCCTATAGAAAATAGTGCTTATTTTCTATCCAATGGCTATTGAGTATTTTGTGGGCATGGTGTATGTAAACAACGGCTACAAACTCATACACTGAATTTCAACTTACAACACGTTCTTATTGAAGAACATTCTTTCCAATGAAACTTACTATGAACTGAAATCTTTTCTGTGAGTCCAGATAAAATAAAGGTCTTCCCTAAAGTCTTAATTCAAATAAGAGTTAAAAGGAAATAACTCCTACTGTATTATTAGAACTTTTACTTAATCTCCAAAATCAACTGTAACACAGAATTTGAATGTAAAATATAATTTCATTTGAACTGATCAATTCCTTAATCCTTTAATCAACAGGAACACAGAACAAACTTTCTATCTATCCTAGAAATATTCTCTTTTACATACTGTGAAATGACCTGTTTGTATGGTTTAGGTTCCTAGTTTTTCATGCTCCCCATTATGAATTTGACCATTGTGGAGAATAGTTTGTATATTTTTAGGCTCTTCACTATCAATGAGTGTGGTACACTGTCGAATGCCTTTCTGTAGCCAATCCATGTCATCGATAAGTTTCTTTTCTTTGTTTTCATCTCTTCCAATATTGTTTTATTGATAATTACTTGGTCATTGCACCCGCAACTACCTCTCTTACATCCCTTCTGTTCTGCTGGGAGTAAATTGTTTTTCTCAAAGAAGTTGTATGTTCTCTCAGTTATGTGAAGGTTTTGTACATTGTTGCTAGGCAGGTAATTGGACTATAGTTCTTTGTATTCTTCGTCTCTTCTGTTTCAGGGATAGGTATGTTACTCCCCACGTAAGCTATTTGGGGTATTTTTCTTGGTTTATGCGAAGTCTTGGTGGGTTCTAGATAGTTTTTTTTTATCCAAAAATTGTCTATTCGGTCTATTCTTGGTGCTTTCCAGTTTTTGGTTTTGCAGATGGCAGCGGTTAATACTGATATCCGTTCATTTTTGGAAACTCTATATGTGTGTGTTGTTCCAGGTTATTATTATTATTATTATGTTTTACTGTTTGGACTAGTATATGCTCATCTTTGTTGTTATACTTACATTTTGGCCGTTGTACTCTCCAGTCTTTTATCAGCATGTATCTGCATTTGTAGTTGGTAACCTTCTAAGAATTTCGAGTCAAACTCCCGTGGATTGATTTAAAATTTAAATCACTCCATGAGAGTAGATTGTTTTCACTCCGTTTTCCATGCTTAGGGAATATTTCTTATCAGTTAAAATATTTGCAAAACTTATTTATTTGTGCTGCTTGTCTGTTTCTTTATTGATATCAGAGTATATGACTTTTCAGTATTACCGATCCCAATGATTGGACTCACAACTTTATTATATTAATTATAATAATGATAATTCCCTATCTGAAAAGTTTCAACTTTGTGCTCATCTGTTGATTCGGCCTTGGATAAGAAGAATGTTACTGACTTAGATGTCTGAAAGAATCAGCACATATAATAGCCTATGTGGACCTTCTTAGTAGGCCTAGCATAGAAATAAATACAGTATGGGAGCTAATAAAGAAAGACAAATAACAGCAAGTCTTCAACAGCAGCACAACAGTCAAAACATGACAGGTAGCAGCAGTAGCATTAATCAGCAGATAAGTTAGGTTTAAGACTCCAAGTTCATTAGTGTGTACTTGAACTCAGTGGAAAGAGACGAGCAATAACTGAGCAGTGCTAAAAATAAGAACTAGACGATATCCCTAGACATTAACAGTTAATATTGGATTAAATAAAGAATTCAGTTCAGAATTTCCTGTAAGTTACCTAGATCAATATACACCTGATGAAGGTAAGTGGGCACAATGGTCGAATCATTGTGATAACAACAAGAAAGGAACAACACTCCAAATGTAAACAAACTCTTTGTAAAATACGCTTTATTTTCTCATATTGTTGATGTTATAAGCTGAATAAAGCATAAAAACATCAAATATACATGTAATTTTAGGGAACTAGCCAAAAAATGCACACACATATCTAAAAGTAAAAATTTCAGCTATGTTTTTCAGAAATTGCCTATGAAACATTTTAGACAAAAAAAAAAAATGATGAACCAAGTTTGGTAGGACTTCTACAGTATTATTTTAGCTTCTGGAACCCATTCTAATCATTTAATAATGCTGGGTACTTCAATTTAACACACCAAAACAAGTGCCACCTTTTCCTAGTTTTGTTTTTCAGAAAAAAAATTACTTGTGTTGTCTGGATTTTCCGTCAGAGCACAACGCAAAGTGGATATTGTCCCTGAAGTTTTTCTGAATACATTCTTTTAAATATCTTTGGTGTTTATCATTGGTACCTATAGGTTTGTACTTCATACCAAAAACCCTTCATCCTTTCCTATATTTTTCCGTCACGGCACAACGAAAATTCAAATTTACTGAGACTACTCCAATATGGCTCCTATCACTCCAAATAATGGTATTACATAATAAAATGATGTGAAACATAAAAATATGAGACTTTGAGTTTCATTGGTCATTATCATATTTATTTCCATTAGATCATCTGTCACGGCGCAACAAAAATTCAAGATTGCTTCAATATGGTTCTAATTATTCAGAATCATAGTATTACTAAATAAAATGTT